GCATTTGTACCCTCCAAGTGAGCAGCCACTTCCACCTCCTTACATTTATGCTGTACAACGTTTGCTGTGATTGTTTATAAAACTTCCAGAAATCCTGGGAAAGATGTCTGTTTCTGAGAATAATCCCAAGCACTTGGATCTCTTCCCCAGGTTCCTAGCAGAATATCATGCCTGCCTCTTCCCGGAGTCAGCCTATGTCACTGCTTGCAAGGGAGGCACTGCAACCCCAGGAACCCGAGGGTCACTGATTAAAGCCTGGTGGTTCTTCTGGAGGACTGCTGCTCTGCTGGTTATGTCTTCAGGATTCAAATCTCAGGCCTGCCCGGGGCCTCCAGCAGAGGTGGGCTCTGTGATTTTTGATTTGTCCACATATTGTAGTATTTCTGTTAAGAATTACTTTCTGGGCCCCCAAATGTTCTCTGACTTAACTCTTGCTATTGCACAGAACATTTGTGATGACAGGCAATGCATTTAGCATGAAATATCCACAAAATGGGCTATCCTGGTAGTCATTGCAATTCTTAAGAATCATATCATTTAGTTAGTTGTTAGCATAAAAGGATTTTTGAGACAGCATCTGGCCAGTTGAGGCTGGCCTTGACTGTAGCCTAGACTGGCTTCAAACACATGGCGACACTCCTGCCTCAGCCTCCCGAGTGCTGGGATTACACACATGCATCACCACACCTCACTAAACAAAACCCTTTTGTAGCCTGTTTTCACTCTTGTGGTGAGGATAAATGACTCTGTGCACTCTATTTTAGTTTGTACTTGCAAACCACCGGGAATCCTAAAGTCTTCTAGAAGCCATCGATTTCAGTGAAAGAAAATGAAATGTACAGCTGTGAAATGCTATTTTCAGTACTTAATGTAGGATTGCCTGTCTTGTTTGAGATTTTATAGCCATACTTTGTTGACTAACATTATGGTTCACTTGCTAGAAAATGTTATTTTTGGTGATCTAAGTAAAAAAGATATCTGTTTTGAAAAAAAGAGTAAACAAATGAAAAAAGAAGAAAAACCAATACATCATATTTTATCAAGATTAAAAATTTTTGTATTAAAGAATAAGGTCAAGAAACTGAAAAGTTGCCTATCGAATTTGGAAATCATAGATATGATAAGAGTTCCCTGTGCATAGTGTATAAAGACCTGATTAAACTCAGAGACAAAAGCCCTAATTTACAAATGAGGAGAGAATCTGAAGAGACATATTGCCAAAGTACATGCACAAATGGTCAACGAACACATGAAAAGATGCTCAATACAATGACTCGCTATGGGAATGCAAAAGGAAAACACTCTGAACCTACTATTGGCTACTGTAACTGTTTAACAAGAAGTTAAACAAGCAGCGTGAGGGAAACTGCACAGAAACTGGAAGCCTCACACATTCTTTAAGGGAACAGGAGAAGCAGCAGCCACTGTAGAAACAGAGCCCAGCTGTGAGGTCACTGGACAGCACGCCCAGCAGGTATGTGTTGGGAAAATGAAACAGGGATTCAAATAGTTTCCTGCATGGTAACACTGCCCACAGCAGCCTTCACCACAGGCAACTTGAGGAAACACCTTGAGTGTCCCGAATGGATGAAAACCTAAATAAATGTGGCGCATAAATGCACCTGAATGTTAGCCATGAAGAACAAAGTTCCGATGCCAGCTCCAACATGGGGAAACCCGAAAAGAAACAAGAACCACAATGGCACCTGTTTATATAGTTTAATTTAGAATATGACAATTCCCAGGGGCAAATCCAGTAGCTCAGAGGATACCATGGGCTGGATAGGAAGGGATGAGGAGTTACTCATTAATGGCTAGACTTCCAATTCGGGTATTCTGGGTATTGGAGCAATTGTTATAAAGCTAAATATAATTAGGGCATTTATTTATTTATATTCTTAAAGTGTTCAAGACAGCCCATCATTGTCATCTATCATTTGCAGTGATTTTCTAAAGTCTCTGCAAGGCTCGGTGGCATAACCTGTATTCTCAGCCCTGTAGAAGGCCAGGGCAGGAAGACTTCAACTTTGAACTGAGCCTAAGAAACATGAGGTAACGATATCTCAAAATTGAGAATGGGCTGAGGATGTAACTCAGTGCAAAAGCTCTGGGTTCAATCCCCAGGACTACGCAATAAAAATATTTAAGAAAAATATACAAAAATACATACAAGGTGGCAAGCTAAGGTAGTGCACCCCATCATCCCCCCACTTGGGAGGTTAAGGCACAAGGTTCACTACAGGTTCCAGGCCAGCATGCACTGCATAGACAAATGCTGTCTCAAAAGGACAAAAAAAAAAAGCAAAAACCATATATCCTCTTCAAATACTCAACTACTCATACGTGCTTGAAATATAGACCCTTCAGGTGAAGGATTTAGAGGCAGGGAAGGACTGAGGTAGTAGGAGATCAGGAGACTGCGGGCAATGCCATCTGTGGGGTAAGGTTTCAGAGACGCCTTCAATCTCCATGTGGATGGACTAAACTATAGGTTGGGCCTGCCTGTGTCCTCCCTGGGTGGCCTCTCCCCACTGCCTCTCTGACTCTATTGTGGTCACTCCGCCCCCTTACCCTATAGGTCATTGCAGAAGTGTGCAGGCTGCATGAACACCCCTGACTAGCCAGGGTCCTCAGACACACAGGAAGGAGCAGATGGGACATGGGAGGTTCCAGGCAGGGTTTCTGGGGCAAGAAATGGAAATCAGGCTGCATCTCCACCTCCTGAGTGCAAGCCACGCTCACATTCAGGGAAGTTCTTTCCTGAATGTGGACCATGTGCTACAGAGTTGCCCCAGAGGCCATGAGGAGACCTGCCACAGCAACTGCCACATCACTCCTGATTCTTCCACATGACTGGAAACCCCGTGCCTAGGAGAATCTGCAAAAGGAGCAGAGTGGAGGAGTCCACAGCAGCCCTGCCAATGCCCACAGACACAGGTCCTAGTAAGACAGACTTTGAAGAAGGAAACTCACAGTCACTGTCCCCAGTGGTCACATGGAGACTTCTGAGCATGGCAATCCAGCCACTATGCCAGGAGCTTTCCCTTCCACAGTGATGTGCACTCTGGCATCGGTCCTGTGTCACCAGTCCATGCCACCACCTCCTTCAATTCCTCCCTGGTTCCCTGGCAACTGCCCCAGAGGCTTCACCCTGGAGCCTTTCTGAGGATTGGGACTGGGCAGCTGCTTTTGTCTATTTAAGATCAGGGTCCCAGGAGCTTAGGGCACAGCACTGAGCCCTCTAGTGGACACATCCCATCCAGGGGCACAAAGAGACCAGGGAGGGGAGAGGTGAAGCTGAGCTTGGACAAAGGGCAGGTGCAGAGAATGCAAGTGAAATGAGGCAGAGGGGCTGAGGTCAGCGGGAAAAATAGGAAGAAGAGAGGGGAGGGGACGATCTAGGTAGGCAGGGGAAGGTGCAGTGCAGGGTTCAGTTTCCACGGACACTTGAGACTGCTCATCTTTGTGGGGTTACCTGCATCTTGTGGAGTGTTTGGCAACAACAGGAGGCTCTGCCCAGTAAGTACCAAAAGCACTTCCTCCCTCATGTGTGACAATCACAGCTGTCTCCAGACACTGCCAAATGCCCCTGGAAGGCAAAACCCAGCCTGGCTCAGACTCACTGATACCCTGAAGCCTGATGGGTCGCGGGGCCATTACCTGACACCAGGAGTTCCAGACCAGGTGCATAGAGTGACTGCAGTATTTTAGGAATCAATTGATTTTACTATGGATTTCAGCAACAGTGTGACTCAGAGGAGCCTATGACTCTTGTACAGAAAAACAAAATTAGTTATTCACCTTTTCCTCTTTAAGAATTTCCTGCAATACTACAGTAATAAAATGACATGGCACTCTCATAATGATTCACAAATGGAACCAGATTGATTGTATAGAATACACCCTGACAATGTTGCTCACATGATCTCTGACAAGTGTATCAAAAGAGCTTATCAGGGGGAAAAGAGTCTTTTAATATTCAGTGAGAGCCAGTTGGAATCTGGTCAGCCTCCCTGCTGCAGCCCCTGACAAGGGCTACAAGTCCCCTCATGACCACCAGGGGGCGGCATCAGCACACTCAGGAAAGCAGTTCCTGGAAAGTGAACTCTGCTTACGCTCTGGGAGCAGATACAGGCTGACTGCCATTCTTGGCACCAAGGACACTTCTGAGGTCTCACTCACATGTCTGATTTGTCCCAAACACTCCTTTCTGTAACTCTGAGGACCCATTTATGTCAAGAGTCTCAGCATGGCCCCTCATTCCTGGCAGCGCCCTTGGAGTCAGAGAAGGTGTGACTACAGGTGACTCAACAGGGCAGAGGATAAAGGGGTAGCAATTCACTCAGGGAGGATATGGGTCACACCTCTGCAAGACATAGAGAGGGGGCGCTGTCCCAGAAATCTGCCACTGAGGCCCATGTTGCCCACAACCACTTACCTCCACACCAGACTCCTTCATTTCTAGGACCTGAAGATCATTTCCATCCCTGTCCACCCAGAACTTCAGCTCCTCCTGAAACATCTCATCAAAGACCAACTGTGGGGACCAGAGATACAGGGCAAGTCCCCCTCACCACTCCTCACTCAGTTGCCCCCTCTCAATCCCCTAGAGCCATCTTAGTCACTTGTCTCCTGAGAATACATTGTACATTTCCAGAGTGCACAAACACCCAGGGAAGGACTCAGTGCCCAGATGATTTCTGTGTGTCAAAGGGAAACACAGTTCTGGATTAGGAAACCCCAGGAACTCCCTAGGGTGGCAACATCCTCAAGGCCAAGATAGTGCAGAGGTCAGTGAGGGCTTCAGCCAGTTCTTGTCTTAGGTGACAGTCCCCAGTAGTGTTGGACTCAAAGTCATGTCTGTGGTAGTGAAATTAAATATAGAAAAAGAAGAACACACAGGCAAGGCAGGACCCAGAGGGCAGGAGAGAGCCAAGTTCCCAGGTAGACTCCACCCCACATCACATGACCCTGGGGTGGGCCCTGGCCCTGGCTAAAGGCTCAGTCAGAGGAGACAGCCAGCAGAGCTGACCCTCCTGAGCAGCCTGCTTGGGAGCCTGTGTTGAGCCAAAGCTCTTCTCCCCAGACGGAGGACAGAGCAGACAGCAGAGACCATGGAGCCCCGCACAGCCACTTCCCACAGAGGATTTGTTTCCTGGCAAGGGTTCCTACTTACAGGTAAGAGGGGACAGTCCCTGGGAGGCTATACCAGAGAGTGGACAGCTCAACACTGACTGATCCGGTGAGAAGCCAGGAGTCTGAGATGACAGAGGTTTCTGTTTGGAGCAGGAGGGGAGAGAACACAAAAGAGGATCAGAAGGCTGAGGAACAGGAAACTCACAGTGCATGGGTATTGAAAAAGGAGGAGGAAAAGCCCTATTTTCCTCTGTTATAAGTTAATTGTCATTAGCCACGACATTTCTTTTTTTCCAGTAGACAGGGTCCCGCTGTGCAGTTCAGGCTGGTTTGAACTGTCTGTGTAGCCCAAGATGGACTTGAACTCACAGCGATCCCTGCCTCAGCCTCCCAAGTGCTAGGATTACGGACATCTGCCACAAAACCTGTCAGGCCACTATATTTTGAAAATTGTTGTCAACAACAAAGTCAAGGTGACTCCAAAGAAAATCACACTTGGGGTATGAAGGTTGTCCTCGTCCATCCCAACCAGTAACTGCTAACAAACCCCTGGGCACACAGGGCTCTCAGAGCCATCGCTCATTCATCCACAGTATCTGAGGCTGTGCCAGACCCTGGGCTCCAGCAGAATCAGACAGCTCCCTGTGCTCATCCAGCTCTTGTCCTAGAGGGAGGAAAACTGATCGGCAAGGACATCTAGAAGGGGAAGTCAGGTGTTGACAAGAACCACAGAGGGAAGAAAGCAGGAAACAGCAAGAAACTGAAGAACCAGGTCTCTATGTGAGGGGTCAGGCTGCCCTGAATGTGAGCAGGGTCTGAGGGCAGCGATCTGTGAGCCATGCAGACCCCTGGGGGAGAGTGCTCCAAACAGGGGGAATGACAAGTTCAGGGGCAGGGAAGGAGTCAAGTCCCACTGCTGGCCTCATCAGCCTAGTAAGAGACACACACATGCCTGCAACAATCACACTGTTGTGAAAGCAGTGAGAACATCTCAGGACTCAGAGCTCCGTCTTTCCATCCTATGTAGTTTCTAGTACTGATGAATTTCTCTGTCTCTCTCTTCCAGCGTCAATTTTGACCTTGTGGAGCCCACCCACCACTGCCCAAATGACTATTGAATCGGTGCCTTTTGATGCTGTTGAAGGGGCAGATGTTCTTCTACTTGTCCACAATTTGCCAAAGTACATTTCAACCTATAAGTGGTACAAAGGGGAAACGACTGCAACCAAAAGTATGATTATACAATATTCGACAATCATGAAGAGACATACTACAGGGGATGCACACAGCAATCGAGAGACGATATACCCCAATGGATCCCTGCTGATCAAGAATGTCACCCGAGAGGACACAGGATTCTACACCTTCAGCATAAATCGAGTTTTGAAACCTAAAACTGCATCTGGACAGTTCCATGTACACAGTGAGTTATCCTCAATGACTGTGGGTGTGGGATGGGTGAATTCCACTTCTTACACACACAGGATTGTCAGTCCCAGGCAGTGCACCCACCCTGCCTCATTGCATCCCCATCTTGGGCTTTGAGCCCATGGTGCAGGATGCATACAGTGAAGATGACCTTTGATAAACTGGCATCCTTTACCTGAATCTCCCCATAAAGGTAAAAGAGCTCAGTGCAGTCGCTTGACCCAGGAAGATCCTCTTGATCCAGCTCCCAAGTCACTTGCTATTTAACATGACTCTGAGAGCCACTCTCAGAAACTCTTGCATTCCCTGCTTCAGACCTCTCTCTCTCTTGAACTCCTCACTCAAAGTGGTCCTGGGGCGCTTGTGTTCAGGGTTAGTTTGAGCCACTGTTTAGGGATGATGGGGAGCCGTAATTCACTGGCTGTCTCAATCTCATACTTTCCGAGGGCTGGTCACTAGAGCAGCCAGGGCACAACCCCAAGAGACACATCTCAGTAAGGGCATCAGGCCAGTTGGCTCTCCTGACATGTGGCATAGGTAGCACAGATGGACAGGGGCTTTAGGCCACAGCTAAGGTAACTGAATCATGAGAACCCACAGGAGGCTCAGTGTGCCCAAGGGGAAGAACAGAGGAGAATGAGACTCCTGCAAATTCCCTGTTCACTGGGAACTGTTCCAATTTATTCTGTGTGGAGGCAAGTAATACATGCGGCTCATTTTGGCAAATACTCTATGGCTGTGTCATATAACTGAGAGTATTTCAGATTAATTTACCGACAACATGACAAACCAGATACCATTTATTGTGTACTCTGTAACAAGGAGATGAAGGCACAACAAAATACAGTTGCTACACCAGGTCAGACACACCATGGATAGCAGCCAGAGGCATTACCCACCTGTCTCTAAACACAGCTGTGTCTTCTCCACACTGGAAGAGATCACTCATTAGACTCATGTTCTGTCACTCACCATGCTACCCCTGGGGAGAATCTCCCCACATTATGGCCTCAGGCTGGCCCCTGGCCTAATGCCAGGCTTGATATTAACTCCACTTGTGTGTGATTTCTGTACACAAACATCCTCAGGCCAGGTGTAGGATCTTCTGTAAGTTTAAGCTCAGTGGCAGACGCCATCATGACCCATCTCAAGCACAGCCTTGCAAAACAAAGCCTCAGAGGAAACACTTGAGGCTGAGGAGTCTAGGTCTCCAGCTAGAGGGTCTCAGCACACGCAAGACCCAAGGCAAACCAGGTGGCTGGCAGTGAGACCAGGAGGGACGCTTGTGGTATATCCATGACAACATCATCACCATCAACCCTGTCACGATTGAGGATGCAGGGGAGTATCAGTGTGAGGTCTCCAACCCTGTCAGTTCCAACAGGAGCAACACCCTCAAGCTGAATGTTTACTGTGAGTGGCTTCTCCTCTCCTACCTCTTCTGGGGAGAATTTCTCTCCCAGTAATTTGCAAGATCGATACAAGTCACAGGGAATGTATCAATTGAGATACAAATGTAGTAAACAGACTTGCAAAGTGGTCAAGAGCTTTGTGTCTGACTACACAGTCACCCCCAGTCTTCACAGGGAGTTTGTTCCAGGAGCCCCACTGACACCAGTACCTGTGAATACTCTAATGCCTTATGTTAAAGTGGGCCAGCATTTGCATGGGACTGTGAGAATTCTCCCATATATATTTTGTTTGTTTGCTTATGTGTTTGTAAGACTAGGGGTTAAACTGAGAACTTTCAGACTGAGCTACCTCCCTGCCGATTTTTATTTCTTTCTTTGTTGTTATTGTTGTTTTTTTGTTTGTTTGTTTTTTGTACTGGGGAACAAACTCACAACCTCATGCTTGCCAGGCAGGCATGGTGCTGCTGAGAAGTGCCCCTAGCCTATTTCTTTTTCTTTTTCATTTTTATTTTGAGACAGTCTTAAAAGTTTCCAAGACTGTGCTCAAGCTTGTGATTCTCCTGCCTCAGCCCCCCAGAGTGCCACATCTACAGACATGAGCCACCACACTAAGTTCTCCATATACTTTATTTTTTAAATTTTATTTTAAAGAGGGTAAAACTAAACATAACAAAGCACAACCAAGCCATCAGAAGAAAACAATGTAAATGACAGAGATTCAAAAGCAAGACAACAAGAGCTCATCACTGGCTACCATAATGTCTCTTGTTTCCTTCTGAATAATTGTCCATATCTTCATACGCAATGAATTCATACAAAACAAAGTAGTATTAAACTGATCAGAACAGAGTGAAGCCTTCAAAACCAGATAATAGGGAAATCAACAATGGCTGTCATAATGTGTCTTGTTCTCTTCAAAATAGCTGTTTATACCTTCATGTATGTTGAAATTAAACAATACAAAACAGACTAAAACCACTCTGAAGAAAGAATAATGCCATTACAGGATTTCACAGCATGATGATATGGATAACATAATGTCTCTTTTTCTTCAAGTAACTGTTCATTTCATAATGTATTAAATAATCATTTCTCATAAACTTCTTAGGAGAAGATCTACATATATAAGTCTCTACATGTATTCCCATCCTTCCTGTATTAATGAGGAAAACAAAACTGAACAAAACATAAACAATTAGCAGAAAAATATGAAACAAAAGTGGCAAATCAATAACAGTAGCAAAAAGCCAAAAACACTGACCATATCAGCCTTCAAAACACGGTGGTAGGAGCATAACTAGGGCTGTTACTTTACATGATCATCAAGAGTTTCTCAGATTACCACACACTAACATGAATAAGTGTCCCAATCCTACGAATGTTACCTGTTTTGATCCAAAAACTTATACAATTTGTAGCACAATCATCTTAGCTATCCTAAGTATGTTTTATATACTTAAGGCATTTTTTTCTTTTCCTTTCCTTTTTCATTTTCCTTTTTTTCTCTGAGATATTATTTTTCTCCTTTGAGAATATTCATACCCTTTCACTGTATTTATTGAGGTCTTTGTAACGTTATATACTCTTACCATTTCTTACACTAGAGGAACTACATATGAGTTTGATTTATTTTGCTTATGAGTATGACATCAAGTTGCATCAATTTATTTATAAATATCTCAAGGGGATCATTCTTTACAGCTGAGTGGTAATCCATTGTAGAAAAGTATCACATCTTTTTTATCCATTCCTCAGTTGACGGGCATTTAGGTTGTTTCCAAGATCTGGCTGTTACAATTTGTACTGCCATAAACCTGCATGCACATATATCACCGTGGGATGATATACTCAGTCCTTCTGGGATTATGCCCAGACGTGGAATAGCTGGGTCTAATGGGACTTCCAATCCCAGCTTTTTTATGAACCTCCAGACTGACCTCCACAGTGATTGCACCAGTCTGTACTCCCACCAAGATTGCAGAAGAGTTCCTCTTTCTCTGCAGCCTCTTCAACGTTTGTTGTTTGTAGTTTTCTTGATCCTGGCCACTCTTTCTGGAGTGAGATGGAATCTAGTGTGGTTTTAATTTGCATTTCTCTAATGACTAATGATGCTGAACATTTTTTCATGTATTTATTTTCCATTTGTATTTCTTTAAGTACTGTGTATTCATCTCGGATGCCCATTTCTCGACTGGGTCTTCAAAATTTGGGGGGCTGATTTTTTTCAATTTTTTATACGTTGCAGACAGAAGTCCTTGTCTGAGGAACACTTGACTAAGATATTTTCCCAATTTGTGGGTTTCCTTTTTACTATGCTGGAGATTTCTCTCGACATGCAAGAACTCTTCAATAAGACATGATCCCAGTTATTGATTCTGTGAAGTATTTCCTGTGCAGTTTGATTCTTGTTCATGAATTCTCTACCTACCCCTGTGTTTCAAGACTTCTACCTACCTTGACTTTCAACAGATTCAGTGTTTCTGTTTTAATATTTAGATCTTTCATCCATTTAGACTTTAGTTTAGTACATGGCCATAAGCATGGGTCTAGTTTTAGTTTTTGGCATATGGTGAGCCAATTTATCCAGCACCCTTTATTTAAGAGACTATCTTTCTTCCAATGGAGGCCCCTTTATCAAAGATAAGGTGACTGGGTGTGTTTGTAGTTGTAGTTGTGTCTTCTAATCTGTGCCATTGATCTTCAGGTCTGTTTTTATTCCACTACCAGGCTGATTTTATTACAGTAGCTTTGTAATATAACTTCAAGTCAGGGATTATGATGTCTCCTGCCTTCCCTTTGTTGCTTAGAATTGCTTTTGCTATTCTAGGTCTCTTCTAGTTCCAGATGAATTTTAGAAGTGATTTATCTAGATCTGTGAAGTATGTTAGTGATATTTTGATTAGGATTGCACTAAATCTGTATAACAGTTTTGGGAGAATGGTCATTTTCTGAATATTTGTTCTTCCTATTCATGAACAAGGGATGTCTTTCCATTTTCTGAGGTCCTCTTCTATTCCTTTTTCAGAGAATTACAATTGTCCCTGAATAGATCTTTTACTTCTTTTGTTAGATTGATTCCTAAGTATTTCTTTCTTTCTTTCTTTCTTTTTTTTTTTTTTTGGATGCTATTGTAAAGGGTGTAGCTTCTCTCATCTCTCTCTCAGTGATTTTGTTGTTAGTATATAGGAATGCTATTGATTTTTGAGTCTTGAATTTGTATCCAGCTACGTTACTGAATTTATTTATTATAACTAGGAGTCTTTCAATGGAGTTTGGAGTCTTTCAGTGGAGTTTTGGGGGTCTTCTATATAGAGAATCATTTCATCTACAAATAATGATAATTTAACCTTTTTTCCTATCTTTACTCCTCTCTCTCTCTCTCTCTCTCTCTCTCTCTCTCTCTCTTGTTCTCTCCTCTTGTCTACTTGCTCTGGCTAGTATTTCTAGCACTGTATTGAGTAGGACTGGTGATAATGGACATCCTTGTCTTGTGGCTGATTTTAGGGTAAAGGCTTTCCGTTTTGGGCCGTTTAATGTGATGCCAGCTGTTGGTTTGTCATAGATGGCTTTTATCAGATTGAGG